CCACTATGTTAGATACCTCACTGGGTGGCCTGGATACGTTGAAATACGAGGTTCCAGCTCGGGACCACCATGTTAGATACCTTTCTGGGCGGCCTGGAAACATGAAAACACGTGGCTCCAACGAGGGGCAACATGCAATCATCCTAGATACCCACCCCCTGGGCGGCCTGGACACTTAAAAAGATGTAATTCCAGCTCGGGACCACCACGTTAGATACCCCCTGGGCGCCCAGGACACGTAGAAAGACGTGGCTCCAGCTCGGGACCACCATGTTAAATACCCCAGGGGGGGAAATCCAGAAAATCACCCGCCGCAGAAACTGTGTCAAGCTATAACACACCTGGTGTCGCTTTATTGATTTTGTCTGGCCCTTGTGGGCCCAACACTGGGGGCCCCAGACGACCACATCTTAAATACCACCCCCGTGGGCGGCCCCCACACGTAAAAAATACGTGGTTGCAGATCGGGGCAAAACACGTGGTTCCAGCTCGGGGCAACAATGTTAGACACCCCACTGGGTGGCCTGGACACGTGAAGACACGTGGTCACATCTGGAGGCAACCATGTTAGATAGCCCCCTGGGCAACCTGGGCACGTGAAAACCTGTAGACATCCTCTGAATTCTGGCCCCCAGGGGAGGATTTGTTGGGCGCCTGCGCACCCCCGTGCACACACGCCTCACCCGGCCCCGGGGCGCCTGCTCAGGTCCCCCAGCACACTCCGAATCTGCGAAAATCCCTGGGGATCCTCAGGGATTGTCGGTCGTCGACGCGCCGCTGTGCGCCAACACCCCACCCGGCCCCGGGGGTGCCTTATCAGGATTCCCGCCCCAAAGCATACGCCCCTGCCGGCCCTGGGGGGCGAGGTCGCGGCCGCTAGCCCCTTTTCCACCCTTCCACCTACCAACTTCACTTCCAAGAAGAAAATGATCTGGGCCGGCATGGTGGTTGCAACGAACACCAACAACAACAATCAGTTTGAGACTGTTCGTTGTTATTTGCTCGAGTGTCATGCAACGTGAATTTCGCACAAACTCGACACCCGCCCTCTTCGTCTTCGATCGTACCTCTTTTGGAGATAATTTTTCTTCCCTGCAAGACGGGCACCGGCAAGCGGCGGGGCGGCCACGGACCGTCGGCGTGGCCAGCGGCAGCGCTGATCGGCGGCAACCCGACCCCAAAATGGACGGACAGGGGACCTACCACGACGACGACGACGACGAGGACGACGACGACGACGACGACGACGACGACGACAACGGCGACGACGACGACGACGACGACGAGCGAAAGCGAAAGCGAGCGCGAGAGCGAGAGGGACAGCGGGGCCACGCAGGGCATGAAGGGGGCCTCGAAGGGCGACACCGGGGCCACGAAGGGCATGCGTATGGGGCCACGACGGGCGCAAACGAGCTGGGGCCACGACGGGCAGATAATGCGGGGCCACAGAAGGCAACG